TAGACATACCCATATTATTCTAAATACATACATAGTATTACTCCCGTACACAGAATAAGTGATTGTGCTCATCATACAATTATTTGTCATGGGTGGGTAACCTCTGGCTTACTAGTCAGGATCACCAACCACTAGGTCATTATGCGCGGGCATTCGGCATCTTTTCACTTGTTCAAAAAGCCTTAAAACCTTAACTTTTTCACATGCTACCTACGACCTGTTCACCATTTCCATTGCTCGACAGAGCCCTAAAACGAAGAAATTCTAAGCCTATTCATGGATTACAAGTCTCTCAAAGCGAATAGTTGCGTCGCTTTATGCAAGGCAAATACGCAAATACACAACAATGCATACTGCAAAAACCTTTAAGAAAAACAGACCTACCTATATAATGTTAGTTTTGTAATAATAACTATGTGTGGAGTTCATTTTTATGTAGGAATAATCAACTGAAGGAGATATTGTTACGAGAATGTCCATTGAAGAAAACTAAACAGTTTTTGAGTACAATCTCTATTATTGCAATTTTTTTGCGTGTAAGTCCCCATACACGTAAATATTGGTCTTGCCGCCGTTAGAAGTCAATTTACTCCTGCGGTGGGACTATCTCATTATCATATCTGTCATTCGTTTTTCAATATGCTATAAATCGATTAAGGTTACGACAAGTAAAAATGAGGCTTATGTATTCAAAGTCTACGAAATGTACTTAACGTATGATGATAATTGTGGTTATCTGTTTTGAAACGTAGTAGTTACAGTCTATGTATTAATATGGAAGATTTTGTATTCTTTTTTTTTATGAACGCTAATTATCATATTTAATGTATATAATATTATGTAGCAGAAGTGCAGAAAGCTAAATCTTTGAACAACATATCGTATAAAAAAATAGGAGATAATTATAAATGTCTAGTATTATACATACCTATTATATACAAGATTCAAGCCAGAATGGTTCATGAAATAAGAGAAAACGTTTTAAATTTGTCCGCCAAGCTTTTTCTAGTTTTATAAAACGCATTGTTTCTCGTCATAAAAATCGTTACTCATTAAATGAAAGTAAATGAGCTTCTACTGAGTGAAATAAAAGAATCTGCTAGCTCTTAGTTCATCCCTAGAATTATTAAAAATAGTTATTATTTAATAAAACCATAGTCATTTATTACCTCCTCATAAGTGCACCTACCTCATTCTTTCTCTGCATCGCCCAATCGGTCGACTGGCAGAGAATTCCTTAGGCATTAAGTCTGCCGATGCATATATTTGTGCATAAAGTTATAAAATAAATAGTTTTTGTGAGGTCTGCTAGAAATAGTTTTGAAGATATATCATAGTAAAGTAAATCCAATGATTTTCTGGTCACGTTTTGGGTCACTCTATTTCGAGTCGTGTCTTTCCGATAAAAAAGGCAAATATGTCACAGAAGGCACGACCATTATTGATTTTTTAAAGCCACAGACACATTTCAACATATCTTTATACGATTCTACCTGTAGCCGTACCAGATATCGCACATTTCATTTGGGTCAGTCTGGGATTTTATAAGCACTTTTCTATTTTTATTATTTTCTGTATTTACATGTAACTTAAAAAGCCACAAATCAGCACTCAAATGTAGTACTTCACTTGCGCAACATTAGTCAAGGATTGATTTTACAAAATGGATTCTGAAATGATTTCACGGTCCATTAGAAACAAATAAAAACAGAAAATATTTATAAATCAAGAAATAAAGATACGGGGCCAATGTTTACTTGTCTATGATAAAAGTATTTTTGCTCAATACGAATAAGCGAATAATACTTTGATAAGTGAAAGAGATGAAGTAACGAAGTAAATTGACTTAAGTCTGGAAACTACGAGGAGAAAAATGACTACTATTGGATTCAATGTAGCCGGGACAAATCTGATTACTTATGTTGTCTATAAATTCTGTTATAGATAGACAATTTAGCTTTATCTAAAGTAGTTCAGTACAAGTAGTAAGTGTTTTTCGTCATAAGTCAGCACTTTAGTGTTCTGTAACTATGTGTTTCTCTTACAACTATTTGTAATAGTAAGAAAGAAAAAAAAAACATATTTTATTTCTAATGAATAGTCGTTTTAGAGAAACACTGCGAAGATTGACGTATGTAAATCTCCCTTGGGAGAAATTACGTTGATAGGGGGAATTGATATGTATGTCAATTTGTTCAGTTAAATCAGATAAGTCAAACTAAATGTATTTAAATCTACTTAAACATAAATTTATGATGGGTTTAGTTTAACGAATTAGTACTACGAACATTACACGTAATAATTTCCGAAGTCGCTTAAAATCCGAATAGAACAGTGTTTTGCAGCTGCAAATTGAAAATTTTAACTGTGAGAAAGCCATCATCATCACATAAATGGGTCGGCTTACTAAAAAACCTGTGTTAAGTTTTCTTTTCTGCTTTTTTCGTTGCTGTATGTATAATATCCTGAATTTGTGTACAATAAAGATTATTCTATTCTATTTTATTCTTTTCACCGGAGTGAGGTTATCGGTTTACCAAAACTTTTCTCTCCCTCTCCCTCTTTAGATTATTGGGAACGAATTTGTGATTCTTTGACCCGTAGGATCGTTTTGCCTCTTACCATTAAAGAAAAAAATAAAAATTATACAAAAAATGGAGAATGGCGTGCAATGAGAGAGGTCTATGTGACATAGACTTTGTCCAGCAGTGGACTGCGATAGGCTGATGATGATGATAAATGTTATAAATTCGTAAACAGGGACGTAAAACAAGAATGAATTAAAATTCTTATATCACAAAACGGAAATCTGATATTTAAATGTATTTATTTAAATTTAGTAAATTTGTAAATTTATAGGTGCTAGTGAATCTAGGATTCACACGCAAAGACACTTTGCTAGACAAACTTCTTTAAAGAACATTTTCTGAATTTATGGATCTTTATGACTAAAGTCTGACAGTAAATTATCACTTAAATAAGCTTAAGACAGACAAATAGCGTACTCAGGTTACATAACTCTTGTTGCCTAAATAAATTGAACGAGATTAATACGTACTCAGAGACAAGAACGGCCTAGATAAATTGTTTTATTCGTTCTTATTAAATTACTTGAAAGTAAAAGAAGAGAAGTTGTGATTATTGAGATAAATATTATCTGCAATAGCTCAAAACCTGACCAAAAACTTTACATTAATTTAAATGTTTCAATACTTAACACTTCATAAAAGCTTTAAAAAATTATTTTTCCTTGTTTTTTTTCATACAAAGTGACTTGCACTTTATCTCTAGTCATTTTCAGCTTTTTTTCTATAATAAACACACTACATGTTACTCTCTCATATCTTACGTCTTTTATTTCTGCAAACACTTACTCTTTGCCGTCCAAACGAGTGGACTGCTACAACTATCACTAAAAATAAATAGTGGCTCTAGTGCACTAGCTGCAAATTGATGCTTACTTCAAAATAGAAATCATTATTATACATAAAGTGCTCACACAGAAGTCGAGTAAGTATACCTTATGGACCCACAATGACCGTTTCCATTAAATTTCTCAAACCATAGACAAATATGTACGTATGTATACATATGTGTTGCAAAGATTCAATGTTACGCTACGTACATTGTTTATAATAAATATGAAACCTATTTCTAATGCTAGGTTATTTTGAAGTAATATATTACTTATATTCGGTCTCGAGTTCCGTTCCCGGGTCGTCTCTAATGTTTGTATGATCTGCAAATATCTGTTTCTGAGTTTGGGTGTTTAGATGTATAATATGTATGAATTTAAAAAAATGATAAATATCATCTATCAGTCAATCTAGTTTTCACAGTACAAGCTCTGCTTAATTCGAAACTAGATGGTGTTGTGAGTTAGATGTACGAAATAATATTATTATATTACGACAACAGAAAATGGACGTATGACATATATCGGAAATTGGGTATATATAAAACTTACTAGTACATAATTTTTAGTCTCCGAAATAAATTTGGTTATTTTAAGACACTGTCGTCAATGTACATTTAATAGTTTTTGTACTTGATTCTTAATTAGTACTAAATGAGATTTATTCCTCTCCTACTTTACCGTTAGTCCGATCATCTATAGTCTGTTTAGTATGTTAGTTAAATATTACTTCTTCTTTCTAAGGATAAGACTTCTTTCCAAACGTAAAAAGAGATGGAACAGGGAATAGTAATAGTACGTGGGAATGCAATATGTTGACAATTGATAGTTTTCCGTTCATTCTGATCTGAACCACAATAGGTATAGGTAAACTTGCGAATCACCAAAAGATGTTTACATAATATAACTACCGTTAGCGGCAGTTCTAAATTCATTATCAGTTTAGGATCTAATAGTCGTTGACTAACATTGCAATGACAATGTGGTTATTTATTAGAGCCATAAGTGTATTTATTAAAAGTGCCGTTTTTCTACTGTTTACTCATCAATGTAAGCTCTTAATACTCTTTAAATACATTATTATTTATATTGTTTTACAATCTAACCTGTTTTAATCCATGGTAAGTTCCATAACAGCAATGTATGATTGGCTGAATTTATGAATTAAAATGCCCGACGCGACTTCTAGCATTTTGCACCAAACAACCACATTACGAACTGTAACAGTAAAAACACTTTTTTCAGAGCTTCATCCGTTATGTTAATTACAATCTTCTTTTAAACAAGTATTAGGATTAAAATTGTCACTCAGCTTTTACACTTGAACACTGCTAGCAGTGTAAAAGTCTTCGCATACTGATCTACTGTTGGAGCTTCCACACAGACACTAGATACTAATAAATCTCTCTTCTTCTCTTTTCTTTTAACTTAAAGAGACATACTATTGAAAACAGGCACCCAACGCTTTTATTCAAATTTATTTTCTTTTTTCTTGTGTGTTTCTTATTGTTTATTTATTGCAGATACCAGATGTAGTTGCAATGTATGGGAAAACGTAAGATGCTCTTCAGACAAAGAACAGACAATGCCACAAGGGATTGAAAAAGACGCTGGACGATTTCCTTGGCTCGGCATCGTACAACATGGGTTTAGTTAGTCAAATTATTATTTTTACTTGTTCTTTAGTAGTTACTATAGTCTTGTACTTTGTCTTAAATTATAGGCAAATGTTTATTATATACTGTTTTTTTGCAGATGTGGGAGATAAACGCTTCTACGTTATTTCAGGGGCAGTGCTAATACATCCAGTATTTGCTATTGCTGGAGCTGAAGATATAGCTAAAATTGATCCTGTAATGCTAGTGTACGTATAAAATGTTAGGAACGTGGGCTGTTCTTCATATACCCTAAAATTATTACCTCCAAGTTAGAGGCTGGCTGATTCTTTGTGTTACCATATTAACTGTTATGAAACGAATATCGAGTCGCACGTGGGGTGTTTTCTTATCGAGTTTATTTTTCTCGTATCTGATGTTCTTCTGAATCGTATAGTTTTAAAGCTCTTTCAAATAAACAAAGAATATTTAGTCCAATAGTTGCCAATTATATCCCACCCCGTACCAAATATTCGTAATTCCCCGAAAGCATTAATGCCTAAACGGTAAAGGTTAATAGTCAGTGACGCAAAATTTTCTATCTAAAAATAACTACGTGTGTAACAAGTGCTACGGCTGCTATGATTATTGTAATATAGGCACACAGACAAGACGTTCATTCCTATAGAAAAGAAGGGATAACTCAGTGATAACTCACGGAAATAACTTCCCTTCTTGTCCATGAGATTGAACGTTTCACAACCGTACTGCAGTATTGCGTATTGCAGTTTTATAAGTTTAGTTTTCTATTTCTTACTTATTCTTAAGACTGTCTTGCTGGCCTAGTTTTTTTTTAACAACGGATTTATTCAAGGAATGGTTTTTCAAATTTCTCTTATACTGATACTACATAAGAACAAGAACAGTGACACAGTAGATAATAGGTTGCCGTGAATGACCATAAATGAATTGTATTACAGTCAGCTAATGATCCTGTTTGCTAAACCAGAGGTCGTGGGTTCGATACCCACAATAATGATGTGATGGGCATGTTCATTTGTTTTGTGTCTGGTTGTAATTTATCTATATGTGTGTATTTAGAAATATATAAGTAAGTTGATCATCAGTCTGGTTACCACAGTACAGGTACTGCCTAGTTTAGGATCAGACGGCCGTGTGCGAGATGTGTGTAGTTATTATTATTATTCTAAAAATCTTAGCTAAATCATCTAAATAAATTTTACTAGCATAAAATGTAACAGGAATAATACGGAACTGATCTTCTGGAAATCTGCAAAGAAAAAGATTGCAATAACTGTACAAGATTATACTCTGCATCCAGAGTTCGAAAGAGGGACTACTGTCGCTTCTATAGCGTTACTTAGTATCATGCATCCGCTTGTATCTGAATTTAGTGAAGTTATTGGTAAGAAATGTGATACTATTTATTACTCTGTTAACGCGTTAAAATGTTACTAAGGTAAGGATTGTATTTGAATATTTGTCAGCAAAAGCAAATGGGTAAAAACGTACAATAAAAGTGACTTGTGTTTTATATTTGGGTCATTAATATTTCTCAATAATATACGGTAAGTTTTGAATCTTTGTAGGATTTTGAGTTGGGATAAACAAAAAAGCATTAGCATAATTATCACCTAGCCCTGTGTACCAGCCACGTTTACTTTATTAATTTATTAAATCATTCTTTAGTTCAGTTCGAGTTCATATTCGACTATCAATTGACGTGTCGCGGCTCAGATATATTATTAATATTAATATCATCTATCAATATAAGTTTACTGATTTATTGTATAACTTAAAACCCTGGTGTACGGACCGTACACCCTGTGTACCTGTCTTTCAGCTCCTGTCCGACCAATTTGCATGCCATTGTCGGGGATTGGATCTTACGCCGACATGTATGCTGTGAAGATAACTGATGGTAAGAGTTTGCTAGCTTCTCACTTGCTAAATACGTGTAGTAAAAGTACAAAAAACTACACACTGTGAGAATCGATACGCACTTGTCTAGTTTTTTAATTTTAGAATTGGGGGACCTGCAGAAGGAAGTTTTTAAAATGGATATCGTGGACAAAAAGCAATGTGAAGATTTTTACATCCAAAGTGAGGTTAGTAAACGTTGTGGACAATATCTTGTCCTAAACTTAAAAGATAAAGCTTTTGTAAACTTAACTAAACCTTATTAAAACATACCAAAAAATCCAAATGATTATTTTGTATCAATACGTTATGATCGTCTAAATGTCTTGTCTTTTAATGTCATATTTAGAATCTAAGTACTGTTTTTATGCTTACTAAACATGTCGAAAACAAGCTGTATAAATCACCAATTAACAATATGGTAAAATATTTCTTTTTATAATAATAAGTAATAATAATAAATAAGTTTTCATGCATGTATATAACGTATAAGTTTTAATTTATTATGATCAAGTAAAGTTCAAAAACACACTCTCGGCTTAAAAATTTATACCGTCGTTACTGAGCCTAATCTATTAGAAACTTCAGAACGAAATTTATTAACTAAAACTAAAGGGAACCTACAAACTGCTACTTAAGAGTGCCATTATTCAGATACTGGATCCACCGTCTGGTCAATTTTAATCTTCGTAGTTTTATTTAGTACTATCGCCCAAAGTAGGTACATATAGATACACAAAGTTTCATTTCGATATGACAATATGAGGTACGTTAAAATGAACTTCCAACATTTGTTGACACACTTCTAGAAATACTAGTAATATTCTTTACAAATAAAGCTAATAAAAAAGTTCTCATAGTAAAATGACTTAACTTCCATAGTTGAACCACCCAAAAATGATTCCTACGAACCCTTTCTGTGCTGTATCGACCAATAGCAAGTCTGCTTGCATCTGGGATTCAGGAACTGCGCTCATAACTCGTCAATCTTGGGGATTTTATCAATTGGTAAGTAGCGAGTGATCTTATCTCTCGAGAATGCAACACCTGCACAGCTGAAAGGCTACTCCAGGGTATAAGGCTGATTATAACAAACCCACCCCTCGAGATTATTTAAAACTGAATAAAAATATACTTTATTAGCTGCAATAAGACTTCTACCCTGGTTGCTGAACCAGCCACTTCTTTAACCGACTTCAGAAAGGAGGAGGTTATCAATTGGGATGTTTATATATATTTTTATGTATGTTTGGGAACAACTCCGACAGATTTTTAAAATTCTTTTTTGTTTTAAAGGGGTTTATGCCGAAATGGTTCCAATAAAATTTCATATAAATGTGATGATGAGTTTCGGAGATAGATAAAAATGACAAAAAATGACAACAAATCAACCGCAATTACTGCTAGGTTTTGAGTGCTCTTTGTTAGTATTGTTTGAAGTCGGTTTTTTTAAATGGGTTTTAATACAATCATTGCTTTTCTACTAAATAAATTATTTTCCAATTCTGATAAATTAACAGATCGGTTTTGGCGTGCGAGGGCCTGGGTGCGCTGCGCCAACAAAATTTCTACACATAATGGACTATATGCCATGGATCAATGATTTAATTCAGATCGCCGCTTCCCAGGATTACAGCGAGGCTGAAAATGATGAAGGGTTAACGATTGGTTTTCGCAGACTATCACCGACAAGCCTGGTGTTCTATCCTAGTAAGGAACTCATTTGCAATATAAGCGTTAATATACCACTATAAAAATCTAAATTTATTTTGATAGTTATATTTGATTATACATTCGGCACTCGGCATTTGTAAAAAAAAGTATGTAGGCTGTGAGGAGCAAAAAAAACTTCATATTAAAAAATAGCTGGTTGGTTTTTTAACGTGATAATTCGGGTTAATATAGTAGTTAAAAAATAATTGAGAAAAAATCGGTTCGTCGCAAGTTATTGAAAAAAAATCGAACAGGTGCGAAAAAACGGTTCATGGGAAGAGAAAACAGGGACTGTTACCAGGAAGAATTAAACTGTTCCAAGACAGTTTAATTCTTCCTGGGACTTCCCGAGTGTCATAACTCGGTGTGTTCGTGGGTCACTGCTGTGGATCCTGGTGTACAGGAGTTACAGTGGTGGGCGTTTGGGTGGGATTAGTCCCAAAAATACAAAAAATAGGAGGTTGTAGTGTAAGAAGAAACGAAGAAAATGAGAGTTGCTGAAGTCAAATTTGTTAGAAACTTTTAGTTAGCAATTAAGAGAATGGAGAAATTAGGAATAATGGAATAGTGAAAACGCATAAAGAGTTTTCACTGTACATATGCAGATTATCAAAATATCTTCCATTGCGTGATACAAATCAATAGTTTAGTATCAATACTAGTTTTCGCATGGTATCATCAACAGCCTTTAATAGTCCACTGCTGGACATAAGCCTCTCCTTAGAAAGGAGGTTTTGGCCTACTACACCACGCTGGCCAGACGGGTTGGTATAGGGTTTAGGCTGTAGAGACGATCCAGTAATGGATCGGGTCTCCAGCCTCCTGGTCCAGACGAACCTGAACCACTGTGCCGCGGCGCAGGATCTCTTCCTGCAAACCATGGCACAGTGGTCGATAGGTGTTGCCGTAGTCGCGGAGCCCTATTCTGTCCCTCCCCGTCCAAACTGGATGGGTGACTGGGACGGCTCCGTGGCAGTCGTCGGTTCCACGACGGCTCATTCCCCGCCCTTGTCGCTAAGAGACAAGGGCACTGGATATGTTGCCGTCGAGTGGGGGGGGGATCACCATATATGGTGTTTATTTCTCCCCCAACCGGAGTTTGAACGACTTCGAGGTTTTCCTAACCAGCTTGGAGACCTCGATACGGCGACTAGCGTCTGGGCACGTCCTTGTGCTGGGGGACTTCAACGCAAAGTCCATTGCGTGGGGTTCCCCCAGGACGGACGCAAGGGGCGAGGCCGTAGAGGAGTGGGCGGCCTCGGTGGGCCTCTGTCTTCTAAACAGAGGCTCCACCAACACGTGCGTGCGACAGCAGGGGGGGTCGATAGTGGACCTCTCGTTCGCTACCCCTGCCCTCGCCGCACGAGTAAGGAACTGGTGTGTCCTGGAAGAGGTTGAGACGCTCTCGGATCACCTGTATATCCGATTTGAGCTCTCCCGGACCCAGGACTCCAGTAGGGGTCACGTGGCGCGGCGTTTATCCCGCTTTCCGCGGTGGGCTGTTGCCAGACTGAACCGGGACCTACTAGAGGAGGCAGCCATAATTCACTCGTGGCTGTCTCCTCAGGCTCCGACCGAGGAGGTCGACGTGGGGGCTGGCCGCTTTCGCGATGCGATTACGCATATCTGCGATGCGGCCATGCCCCGCATTCGAGGTCGTCGGCCTCCAAGGAAGGAGGTCTACTGGTGGTCCCAGGAGCTGGCGGACCTCCGTGCGGCCTGTACACGTGCCCGGAGGTCCTACACACGCAGTCGGCGGCGTCACCGTGGAGACGGTGAGGAGGACCGGCTTCATGAGGAGTACCGGCGGGCGCGGAAAACTCTGAAGCTGGCCATTAGCCGCGCCAAAGAGGAAAAGAGACAGGAGATGCTGGAGGGTCTTAATCGTGACCCCTGGGGTCGCCCTTACCGCGCGGTGCGACAAAAGCTCCGCGCGTCGGGCCCCCCCCCTTACGGAGACTCTCCAGCCCAGCTTCCTGCAGGAAGTGGTCGAGGGCCTATTCCCGCAGCGGGCGGAGCACACACCCCCGTCGATGGCTGCATCAGCCGGAGACGACGGGGGCAGCGAGGTCGATGTTCCGCCCGTCAGGGAATCGGAGTTGGGGGCGGCTGTTCTACGGATTCGATCCAAGAACACCGCCCCCGGGCCGGACGGGGTTCCAGCCCGAGTGATGGCCCGAGCCCTCGACTACATGTCGGACCGCCTCAGGGGGGTGTTGGACGCTAGCCTGGCGTCCGGACGCTTCCCTGAGCGCTGGAAATGCGGGAAGCTGGTCCTGCTGCAGAAGCCGGGACGGCCTGCCGATTCGGTCGCGGCCTATAGGCCCATCGTGCTGCTGGACGAGGCGGGCAAATTGTTTGAGAGGGTTCTTTCTGCCCGCATCGTCCGGCACTTCTGCGAGGTGGGCCCCGATCTGTCGGACGCCCAATTTGGTTTTCGGGCGGGGCGTTCGACAGTCGACGCCGTGTTGCGCCTGAGGGCCGTGACCGAAGAGGCAGTGAGCTGTGGCGGCGTGCTGTTGGCGGTGTCATTAGACATCGCCAACGCATTCAATAGTCTGCCATTCAGCTGCATCAGGGAAGCACTCCACTATCATGGGGTGCCAAAGTACCTGAGGCGGCTAGTGGCAGACTACTTAGAGGAGCGTACCGTCGTGTACGAGGACCGAGAAGGTAATTTGAGGAGTCGGCCCATGTCGTGCGGTGTTCCACAGGGGTCTGTTCTTGGACCCCTCTTGTGGAACATAGGGTACGACTGGGCCCTTCGCGCCGATTTCCCCCCCGGGCTGGGTGTAATCTGTTACGCAGACGATACCCTCGTGACAGCCCGGGGGGCAAACTTCCAAGAGGCGGCGCGCCTGGCCACAAGGGGAGTCTCCCTGGTGGTCGGGCGCATTGAGGCGCTGGGCTTACGGGTGGCCCTAGATAAGACGGAGGCCCTGTTATTCCATGGGCCCCGTCGTGGTCCACCCCCTGGCGCCTCAATCGTGGTCAACTCGGTCCTCGTACCGGTTCGGGCCCAGATGAAATATCTGGGCCTGATCCTCGACGGGAGGTGGCTCTTCGACGAGCACTTCCGACAGCTTGCTCCAAAGCTGGTCGGCGCTGCGTCTGCCCTAGGGCGACTCTTGCCCAATATGGGTGGACCCAGCGTCGCGACAAGACGGCTGTACACGGGGGTTGTCCGGTCAATGGCGCTGTACGGTGCACCGGTGTGGGCGGCGGCTCTGACCGCCCAGAATAGGGTACGCCTCTGGCGCCCTCAGAGGGTAATGGCGGTCAGAGCCATACGCGGTTACCGCACCGTTTCGACGGAGGTGGCATGCGCATTGGCCGGAACTCCCCCGTGGGATTTGGAGGCGGAAGTGCTCGCCGAAGTTTATCGGCGAGTGGCTGACTTCCGGGCGGAGAGCGGATTTCGCCCTCCGCCCGAGGATGTGCGCGAGTGGCGCGAAGCCGCTCGCCGAGCCACGATGGCTCGTTGGTCGTTCCGGCTGGAGACTCCACGCGCTGGCTTCGCCGCCGTGGAGGCTCTCCAGCCGATCATCGCCGAGTGGGCAGGGCGGCAGCACGGGACCCTTTCCTTCCGACTGACGCAGGTGCTTTCCGGGCACGGTTGCTTCGGAAAGTACCTGCACACGGTCGCTAGGAGGGAACTGAGTCCCGCCTGCCACCACTGCGACTGCAGTGAGGACTCGGCCCAGCACACGCTGGCGGTCTGCCCCGCATGGGCGGCGCAGCGCCGGGCCCTCACTGCAGTCATCGGAGTGGATCTCTCGCTACCGGCCGTAGTACGCTCCATGGCCGGTAGCGACAGTTGTTTTACCGCGGTCGCAACCTTCTGCGAGGTAGTAATCTCGCGGAAGGAGGCGGCGGAGAGGGCCCGGGAGGACGACCTCCACTCGGACCCGATCCGCCGCCGGCGAACCGGGCGGCGGAGGCCCGCCTACCACAGCCTCATGCCGCCCTGAGTGTGGCCGCGGGTGGACGGGGTGGGTTTCCCCTCCACCCGCATTAGTTGGCCAGCCGCGAGGGGGCGGCGTCCGCGTGTGCCGGACGTCGCCTAAAGAGAGGAACATCTACATCGAGACGGAGCCCGCACCAGGAGCGGGCTGGCGCTAGGAGGGGTCCGGATGTCTTAACAACAGCTGTTCCCGGATCCCTCCTGTTACAGGCGCAGAGTGGCACACCGTGTGGTTTTAGTCGGTCCGAGTCCGACACACCACCCCGCCGCAAACCCCGGAGGGGTGACGGTCCGAGGGGATTTCCACACGTTAAAAAAAAAAAAAAAAAAAAAAAAAAAAAAAAAAAAAAAAAAAAAAAAGGGTTTATGTCAAGTTTTTCTTCTCTCTACAGTGCTGTTGTTCTGCCTAGTTTTCTCCCTTAGTCGGCTCTTACGACACTCACGGGATGAATAGGGATACGGGACTAATACGGGATAAATACACTTTGTATTCTTAATCCGTCACCACACGGCATGGTAATAAAGTATATTTTGCTGTACTAAATGTGCTTTCACCCTACTGATATAATTTAGTCAGGTGCATATTTACATGCCTGATAAATATTTTAATTTGACTAATAAGTAATATCGTTACAGTCTCTCAAACTTTTCCGAGGTATATTGGCGTTTGTGATGTAAATGAACGTGGTAGAACATTATACAAGGATATTGCTGAAATAACTGCAACCGGGAATGTTGCTACGGGATATTATCTTGTAAGTGTGAATTTGTATTTGTGTATGGGACATACACTAAAATGGGAAATATGAATGCTTAAACCAAAATAACAGTCGAATGAAATTGTTCTTAGTCCGGTTAGTTAGTTGTTAATAGTACGGTTTACAAATTTAAAAAGCTTAAAATAAAAAAAAAATTGCTCATATTTATAAACACAATCCACCGGGAACTGTCCTTATTATCGCTCATACTCCGAAGCACCGAAAAGCTAGTAGATATTTTTTTCTCGGCCCTACAGAAATCTATCTCCAACGTCCTTATATCTAAAAATATACCACTATCAATTTTCCCTATAGTCTGAGATTTGGCCGTTTGAATATACAAATATGTTTCTTGTTAAAAACTATTTTTTAGGAATGATACACAAAGGTAGAATTCATAACAGCATACATGCATAGCAACAGCAGTTTTATAGTAAAATTTTATAGCTTTTTAAATATATATTGGAACTGTTTTTTTTTTTTTTTTTTTTTTTTTAATAATCTTTATTTATGCAAAAATTTGTTTACAACATATTATTACACTTACACAATTACATGAGTACTTAAGTACTAAAACAAAATATCTCTGGCCCCCACACTAGGATTTCCTGTGTCGTGGGGTCCTTTACCAAACAAATCACAAATCACAAAGTACAAATTTTACCAAACAACAGATTCAAGACGGTTCTTATTAGTCTAGTCTGATGTAATATTTTATTTTTAAACTTATTCCAACTAGTAATATTAGCTAAAAATTCATTACCAATTACTTTTATCGAAAGAATACATTACTATTACATTTTTAGGTAAGCGTGACACAAGATGCCTCTTTCTATTGTGGCGAAATATTTCTAAAGGTAAACCGAAGGACCAATGCTGTCATGTGGGTAGAAAATCATAGCCATAGAGCCATGGAAGGTATGACATATCATCAAGAGAGAACTGGCTCGCTAGAAGAGTAAGTAGATTTTATTTGTTATCTTCGATTGAGAATTTACACAACCCGCTTTAAAGATAGTTGGTTTCTATTTTTTGTTCTTAATTGGTCATTAATGTAACCACAATGTGCCACACTGAAGCTTATCAGTGCACCGCTAGTAATCTATAAAATCTAAAAAGTATAATCCACAGGAATTCAGTATAGATTTTGATTGGTGATGGTCCAAAATTCTGTATAATGACAGTTCAAGTTAAACTGGTAAAAAATAAAACTACACATTCAAAAACATCGAAATTCAATTCGATCTCTAGCTATATAATTAATGAGAGGGTTTGTTAAAATAATAATCCGTACTGGGTAATATTAAAAATGCGCAAGTGTGTCTGTCTACCTGTCTATAAAACCGCTGAATCGATTTAAAAGAAATTCTGGTATAAAGATAGTCCGAGCCCCAGGAAAGGACATAGGATAGTTTTTACCCCAGAAATCATCCTTTAAGAGGGTAAAAAAGGGGTGGAAGTTTGTATGTAGAACTAGATAGTAGATTTAGATGATATTTAGTACCGAGATAATTTATTTCTTGAGGAAAGATATAGGCTATATAGGCTTTTTATCGCGATAACCGAAATTTACGTGGGCGGATCCCTAGGCACTATATTTCATGTTTTTAATTTTCTTTTTTACAGGTTAGAGTGCTTCGTCTACTTCAGGTCTACAGCATATATTGAGTTCAAGTTTATATTTTCCTATTCAGCCTTCCTGTATGTTGTTTTGTACGGAAAACTGGATAAAACAGGCTTCTATCACCCCTATAAGAGTCATCCAACAACAACAAGTTGGTGGCCTACTCATAAATTGGAAATGAGTAAATTCACCCCGGCAGATAGACCTTACTGGTCGCTTCGGTAAATGCTCGGTGATAGAGTGGGAGAACCATGCTTCCCCATATGGGCTGGCTCAACCGGAGTGACACTACAATCTCATAAATATCGGTATTCTATAAATTATAAGCAATTCTTTCAATGCCTTTTGCCGAGTGAGTGTTATCAAAAATTCCAAGGGAGGCCCAAATCTGTCCCCTAATTTTGAGGGGAAATCGCACTCGTGTCTCTTTAGATGTCAGGCGAAGGTAGTGGGTCAACTCGTTTACTCATTAAGCCAACATATTTTTTTCTCCCTTTTTGTTTTCCGCCTATTGTGTAAAGAAGAAGATTGTTTTTTTAAATACTGTAAATTTAGAGAAAGTATTTTTTTTGGTTGTATGAACAAAGTTTAAAACAATTTAGAATGGCATGGACAGTTTGGACAATTTTGTTACATTTTTAATTACAATACAATACAATTACAATATTAAAGAACAGAACCCTAAGAGAACCATGTTAATACTATAGTAATTTAATTCCGAATTTCACATCTGAATTAATAGTAGAAATCGACCTCCCTTGGCATCTATATGCCATATACCGGATAGTTTTTGGACTTTATTTTATCGGTCAATGAAATTTAGTCGTTTACGTATGTATTTTTATGTAATGATTGTTGTATGATAAAAATAGGCTATCAAAAATTGTAAATAGTTTTATTTTGTTGTTGAAATGTTGTGATGAATTGATGAAATAAACGAGATTTAATCTTATGTTGTTTTAAATATAAACAGCTAGTCCACTATAGATAGTTCAACTCAGTTGTGCGCGCGGCCCTATGTGTGCGTGGGCTTGTAAATATACAACTTTCATTCGTGTGCTGCTCGGACGACGACTGCCGCGTCACTGCCACAGTCACGTCACGTCCTGGTTGCAGGAGCCAGGAGTATGTGGAGTTTCCACTAAAAACCACCCGACGGTAGGCCGTAGGTGCTCTACTCTGAGGATTACCCGGACCATGTGATTTCAGGTCCCCACCGGATTAACGCCGCACCTAACTAGGCCCTATATCGAATGAAGCCAGAGGCTTCCCCCCCCCCCCTATCACTCAGGCGGCTATCATTACCCTTGGAGCATTAATCAATCTGCTGCCAGAGCCCTCTCCCGATCACGTTTAGCGGTCCCATTCTGGAGTATTACAGCTTCACAGAAAAAGACCACTGCGCCCCAGACCTCCTCACTCGGCAGCATAACAGTAATGGTCAGTCAAGGGGACAGTCACGGGGCTCCACTGTGACAGTTCCTGTCGATGAGCATTCCAGCGCATTTTGAGCTCGTTCTGGTCTTCCCCTTGCGAATTATTTGAGTCTGGTCATAGATCCACACGTCCATATCCAACAGGATATCAAAAGCCTTTAAACGTGCCAGGACTGTAGCCGCCTCCGACAAAATGGTACAGTATACTAGTACGACCTGAATGTCCGCTACCCGATTTAGACTGCGCTTGACGCTTGGCCCATATGGGCACTTCGTAGAGGGCCATGGATTGTATCACCATACAGTAGAGGCGGCGAACTTCCTGCCGCGGACCCCCTAAATTAGATAACACAAAGGGAGGACTGCTTGTCTATTTATTTGTTTACATTCACACCGTACCCGTGTTAACAAAGAACGGAGAAGAACATTAGTTACATAAATATCTTTCCATCGGTAGATTAGAAAACTAAATTTTCTATACTTTTAATACTTTTACGAATCTGCTTTTAGGATATCTTAACTGCTAAAATTATAAGTGGAGACATAGACACGTGGGATTGTTGCCAAACATTCTTGTGTTCACAGACAGGCATATGATATGAGAATGCATCATGTGTACGGAATATATTTTTTCCGGTTTCGTCGGAAGTTGACATGTCATTATTGTGTAAGCCACAATCATTGGTAATCAAAACCGTTGAAAAGTCTCATCACAACAATTTTTTTAAGGTAGTCTTCCTGCTTAACTGTAATCCAATAAAGTTTTAGTTTGAGATAATCACTGGAACAGTTAGTACTTTCTCGTGAGTGAAATGATTAGAAGTGTGTGTTTTGTTCTTTTATTTATTTATGAGTGTAAGTGTATAAGTTTAAAAGTTTAACATCTATTATCTATAGTTTAATTCTTAGATCTATTAATTCCTGGATGTTGGAAAGAATTGAAGATTTTTTTCAAGAAAAATTCACTTGCAAGTTTTATAGCAACGATTCGAATATTAAAGTATCAAAAAGTGCAAAACAGCAAAATAGTAAAATTAAAAATCTTAAATGAAAGTCACAAATCTGTATTTTAATAATTATTTCGGCCTTTCTCTTATTTTGATGTTTAGGTCTGCGCTACTTATTTTGGCTCGAAGCTTACACAAGACACAGTTTAAAGATTTACATCTTGTTTTCCTTCAGCTGAAAAGTTACAAACTAACACTAGTACCAATCTATGTCACCTTCCAAAACAAGTTAAGGTGTAAATCCGAACGAAGGGCACCAATTCAATCATTCAAATCGTGAAAATATTTGAATTTGGAATAAATATTTCTAGATCACACAAATATTTTTCATCTTATGGAAATGCGACTCCCTACACTCACCCCAGTATCGTGAGGCAACTAGTTTAAATGCCGCTATCTGAGTTAGTTAGCTGCAGTATAAGAAGTCTATAAAGTAACAGCTTAAGTTATATTGGTCAATGATATGGAATAAAAAAAAAATGAACTATCATTATGCTCAAAATTTGTAAAAAAACAGGAATCGAAATAATTTAAATCTTGGAGAGGGTATTTTGCTGGGTCGAGCATAACCCTCACATTAAATAATATGTTACACAAAGTAAATATTTTAGAGACTAAACCAGTGAAAGGATGTATGAGGAAGTGCCCTTTTTGAGTATTCTCATCCCCATATCTGAGAATTGCCTTGGAATAGAGTAGGGGCTATTCCTCGCTTTATTTGTTTTTATCCACATTATTCTTCTCCCATAGTCTCGTCCCAAAAACGATTACATTCCCAAGAAGCGTTGTCGTCAGAAAGGCGACCTGAGAAAAAGGAAACCAGCCAAAACCTTGGCAATTTTACAATTTGCCTCCGCTCCAAGTAAAATTGGGTCATGGGTAGACAATAATATGATAATGAGAGAATAACTTTGAGGCAACCCTTACACTTTTTAGAAGTTAAGGAATCTGTGACTGTATTATTGTGTAAATATTAAAAAAAAACCTAACCTTTTAAGTTCAGTTTTAGGTGTTTGTTGGATTTATTTTTATTTGATACGACATTGTTTTTTATCTTGATTTTTATCATAGAGTAATCAAACTAGTTGAGATAATGTACTTTTCAGTTAATAAAAGTGGTTGTTCTGTATGGGAAAAACTACCATGTGCTCCTGACGAAAAACATTTTATGCCAGAAGGTATCGAGAAGGACACTGGGCGATTCCCTTGGCTTGGCATCATACAATATGGTTTTAGTAAGTTAATTATAATATATTGTTATAGTAAGAAATAAAAAATATACATAGTAGTACAAAATTGTTCAGCAGAATAACAGTAATAAATTAAAATTGTGACGAACACTTGAAAATCTCTACAACAACCAGGTAAAACTGATAATCTTGAAACGGCTGAACAGATTTTAGTAGATAATAGGCTAGAACACTCACTCTACAAACGCTATACCAACGCGTCTGTCCAGCGTGATATAGAAGGCCGAAACCTCCTTTCTAAAAAGTGGCATATATCCAGCGGTAGAGCTAAAGGCTATTGATGTTGTTGTTGATGATGATGATATAGTCCGTGGACACACATTGGTTCGAGATGAGTTGACGCAACCAACGACCGATCCTATCAAAGCACTCTACCGGTATAACTACAAGTAAATGTCGCTTAAAGGCATTACTTGCAAATGTTAAAACGTCTTATCATTATGTCCTCGTCCTGTCCGCATTTATCATTAGAGACGATCAAATTACTTTGAAGCAACTTTTACATCGCAAAACATACTTTTAATACTATCTAATCAAGACGTTTGATAGTATCACCTGGTCTGTGTGAAATAAATATTAGATTTTTATCCATTTTTAGCCGTGGGAGACAAACGTATATACGCAATTTCAGGCGTAGTGCTTATTCATTCGTTATATGCGATCTCTGCTGCTGAGGACTTGGCGAAAATTGATCGTACAATGCTAGAGTAAGTGTCTTATTAGTTAAAGATTATATTTCTGTATTAGATACAAAAATGTTTAGTAACTATGATATTATAAATTAGAAAATACCTAACAACACTTCTAGTCACAAGCATTAGAAGACCATTTCCAAAACTGACAACTGTGGATCTATATATCATACCACTTATTGAAGTATTGTTTAATACTCGTACAGTACCGAAATTATTATTAAGTACTTACTCAGTCGATAAGAATAAATAATTCAAAAAAACGGATTAGTTTCTTGATTTTATTTTCTTCGAAATTGCTTAAGATACTATAGTATTGAAAAGTGCCTAAATGCTTCGGTGATGCACGACATCGATCTTGCAATTAGTAGGTTAAGATCATATAGAAAATAGTAGCGGATGGGTAAAAACTTTGAAGAAAGGTTATACTGATGAACTGCGCTACCGTCTTATCAAAATATTCGTGGCGTGTTCGTTAAAAACTTTATTTTCAAATTTTGCTAACTTAAGCTAAATTAATTCATTAATTGTAATGCAGGAACAACACAGAGCTAATTTTCTGGAAAACTGCAGATTATAAAGTTGCAGCACCAGTTAAAGACTATATACTGCATCCAGAATTTGAAGGAGAAATAACATCGGCAACTTTAGCGTTGGTTAGCATGGTCCATCCGTTTGAGACTGACTTCAATGAATTCATAGGTAAGAAAATTCCTAATTATATATAATCTGTAATCTCTCGAGTTACGTGACGAATGTCAAGAAATGCTTCAGTACCTGTTTAGTTATTGTTAGGTTAGTATATCAGCTTCTTGCAAGAACCAATTCTAAACAATCATTAACCATTTTTTCAGTGTATTTTTTGTTTTCAAATATTATTTTAGGTATTTAAATTTAAAATAAGCCTGTTAAGGTTGTTGAGAGATAGAAATTGTGTAAGTGTCTAAGTATTTAGTGGTTTTGATAATTCATTAGGTACTTTATAATTCTCAACTTAATTGCATATTGGAAACTTAATCTCAAAAACTCGAAAAGTTCTGCACCGATTAAGCTCAAATTTTGACACGATTTAAGGATAGTTTTATTATTTAGTCTTCGTGTCCATGATATTCTACATTACTCATTAATGCAACCACAATACATAAATAAATAAATTAAAAAAATATATAAATCCATTAAGAATAATTTAAAAATTACAAAGCTGGATGTTAGTTTTACAGAATACATTTTATTAAACCAAGAATTGTACCTAAGAGCTAAAAATGTTATTCTCCTGGACCAATAATTTATGATTTAGAAAATATTAAATTTTTATCACTTCAAAACGGTTTTAAGATTAACTTTTTTATGTTCTTCGTAAATAGCCACCTAATTTGGGCTATATCTTTGATTTCAGCTCCTGTGAAACCAGTTTGTATGCCCTTGTCTGGAATTGGAACATACAACGACATGTATGTTGTTAAATTTACTGACGGTAAGGAGTTGATTATATGTATTATTGACATATCATTTATTTAGGCTGATCGAGATCTGCCTGACCAAATAAAGATATGCCAATAGAAAGTTGACATTCAAGAAAAAAGCATACCTCCAAAGTATGTCAAAGGCAGTTCACTCTTTATTTGCATTTAAAAAAGAAACAATTTTCCGCAACATGGTGACTTCATTGTGATTTTATTAAAATTTCTGGCAAAATTTGTTAATGATTTAAAATAAATTTATTATCTCCTATTATAATAAAAAGGAGTATTTTGATACCAAAATAAAAGAAGAACTTTTATCAAATTATATTTAATTGAGTTGTTCATCGCGAAAAGTATTTAGTCAAACGTGACCGGTTAAACCTTTATTATCAAAAAGTAGTTGGTTTACTAATGAAATATTTCTCTGCGAGTTGCAACTAATTTTTTTTTTTCATTTTTTCTCAGTTACGGGCGAACTACAAAAAGAAGTGTACAAAATGAAACCCATCGATAAAAATGAATGTGACAATTTTTATGTTCATAGACAGGTCACTAATTTTTGTTTATATATTGTATGTCAAATTTTTTCAAGACAAGATCAATACGAGTAGTATAGACATATATATACATATATGTATATATATATATATATATATATATATATATATATATATATATATATATATATATATATATATATATATATATATATATATAGATATATATATATATCAATAGTTTTTAGACATTGATAAAGTCTGATTTTGTTGATTTAGTTGGTAATTAAGTAGGTAATTATATAAATATTTAAATAGTGGTAGTGTCCCATGTAAATTGGTAAAATACAATACTGTACTAATGATAACAATAGTGGTTTTATGTGTGTGGTTTAATTATTCATAAACAGGTCACTATTTTTTGTTTGTATATTGTATGTCTATTTTCTTCTAGACTTTATCAATGACTATATTGATTAAGTAATTATGTAAATATTTAAATAGTGGTCGTGTCACATGTAAATTAGTAAAACTTAATACTAAACTCATGATAACAGTAGTGGTTTAATGTGGGTTTGCCCATGGGAATTCTTTTTTAAATACAACTCTTGTTTTTGATATTTTTGGTTTGGATACGTCACTTCGCCCTCTAGAAGCCGTTCTTATAAATTACAGAAAAAATACAGTTTTAGATTCAGTATAGATAAAACCGAACCATGTTTCTATGTACTATGTAAATACGTAGTGTGTTTGTTTCGTCTAAGCTTAACTAATAAAAGATGCTCTCATCCTTACTGCTGTTTTTGTTTTGCAAATATTTGTTTCGGAGTTTAAGTGTTTTCTATGTATAATATGTGTGTATTAACAAAAAAAAGTATGTAACATTCTATCAGTCAATCTAGCTTTCACAGTACAAGCTCTGCTTAGATTGATACTAGATGGTGTTGTGTTTCAGTTGTCCGAAAATATTATAATATTATTATATATCTATAAATATAAATAAAAAATATAACTTTATTCATACAGTTACACTATGATAAGATGAATCCCACGAACCCGCTGTGCGCAGCATCATTTAACGCTACATCGGCCTGCGTCTGGGATTCAGGAACTGCGCTGATAAGTCGTCAATCATGGGGGTTCTGGCAATTGGTGAGTCAATCAGTAATTTAAATTTAACCAAAGCATTTTTTTGACATTTAGTACATTAATATTATATTGAGAAATGGGCTTTCGGTGTATTTAAGACTACGTGCTTATTATTTCTGTAAAACCTAAATGTAAATTATTACTACGTAAATAAAATTATTAGTTAGCTCTCGATGACACTTTCGCGAAAAAAATAACACTCGATACTTATTTAAACACTATTAACCGTACTAAAATCAATGTCTCAATAGCATTAACCTAATAATAAACTGTTTAAGCGCTTTAATGTGTTATTGATTGTGATTGTTACAGCTTGGTTTTGGCGTAAGGGGACCCGGCTGTGCTGCACCAACAAAGTTTCTGAATTTAATAGATTATATAGCATGGATCAACGACATCATTCAAAGTGCACCCTTCCAGGATATTTATGATGATAAAAACCAGGAAGGACTCACGCTTGGTCTTCGTCGATTATCGCCTACCAGACTCATTTTCTATCCCGGTATGTATTTGATTCTGAACTAAACTTTAATTATCGTTAATAAGTTAAGTAACTACAGGTTAGATGACAATAAAACACTAATTTGATTTCAAATCTACATGTCCTTGCAGTATTATGATATACTCGTACGCTTCAGTTTGTGGTTTCCGTTCGATGACGTATAGACGATTTATCGAACATAGATGCAACACAATGCAAGAGTTTTTGTGCATTGACAAGGATATCAACTGCGACATGGGGTCTATCATTTAATACACTAAAGATCATATACGGAGCTACTTATTTAGGTTATATGTGCTTTGGTGCACCTGTATGGGCCGATAGGGCGACCGTAGGCACTGTCCGTCGCAAACTATTACAAGCCCAACGAATTGCACTAATATTCTTGTGCAAGGCATATAGGACGGTTAGCACTGAGGCTTTGCCGGTATTGGCGGATGTGCTTCTTTTCGATCTCGAGGTGCAAAGACGTGCAGCGATGACTATTCAACACTAGAAAACATGGAATACGATTTCTTGGATGCCCGAGATCGCGATAAAATTACAAGGTTGCTTCAACAGCAGTCCGATGTCTATAATGACCTCATAAACGAATGGCAATAACGCTGGGACTAAACATATAAGCGGCGCCACCTTTAAAAGTTCTTTCCGTCTGTTCGCGAACGGTTGTCGAGGACATGGTTTGAGGTGGATCACTACGTCGCTCAATTTCTTACGTGACATAGTAACTTTAAGAGCAAACTGTAATAATTTAAATTAGTTGATTCAACATTGTGTCAATGCTCAACACCTAACTGTAACTATGAACAGTCTGCTTATCATATCCTCTGGGAATGTAGTTTTTGGTATAATGAACGTAATATAATGCTGAATAGCTTACAGGTGACATCTGGGGCGGTATATTATGACAATTTTGTGTCAACTAGGGTGAATTTTCGTACGTTTAAGCGATTCTGCCATAAATATTTAGAAATCAAATATAGCTCACTTAGGACCCATAATATTTTGTGGCCGTGGTACATCCCTATTTAAAGGGCGGGCTCAACTTATCATTGAGTCCGTCGTCATTAACGTTTCGTTCCACAAGCTGGCAAAAGACGGTAAACACTACACATTTAAACTTTAATAGCTTGTAATGAAAATAATTTTGTAATTTAATATATATAAACAGTTAAATATATGTGCATGAAAACTATTAAAATCAGTACTAAATATAATTATTTACGTAAATTTATATAAAATAAATGTTACCGAACGTATGACAACTTAATCGTAGGTAAAACGAAAAGTTCAATGGCTAGAATTCTGTATACTTGTAATCTGTGGTTGGATTTGACAAATGATTGATTTCAATTTTTTTAATCAAAATTTATCCCGTTGACCTAGAATTATGAAGTTTTGCAAGTGACATCGTCTTATACTAGAAGTATTGGGGAACATCTAAAAACTTTACATTTGTGATGAAATCATAAAAATATAGTCTTTATTTTAAGTACGTGGTCAATCATCGAGGTACAATTTCGCTTATAAAAGACAATAGTATGAGTAGTTATACTCGTAGGTTTGGAAACTAAATTTGGGGAAAAGCTTGGAAAAGATTTCGAAACTCGATTCCTGAACCATTTATAATATGTACTAATAAATTTGTACGGAACCCTCGGTAGGCGAGTCCGACTCTGACTTGTCCGGATGTTTTTTTTTGGTATTGAAAGCAGACGGGTCGCCTGACGGCCGGATAGATTGTGCCCTGGAAAACAAAAGAATTGCTTAAACCGGTTCCATTATGTAGACACCTTTATGTGATCTATTTCAAAGAAGGTTCCGCTCTACAAGTGAATGCTTATATTACGTAATATTATAAAAACAATTGTAAAGGCACTTAATTTAAATTTGATGTAACAAAGAATGTAAAAACATATCTGTGTATAGTATAGTAGTTATTGGATCAATACTTCTAAAAGAAAAAACACCAGATAAGTGTTAGTCCATTTCAGGAATCGATTCACGGTGATTTTTCCTTTCTTTTTCCGAGTGACAAACTTAAATTGATCCTAAAAATAATCTCTCATACCTGTATATTATATCGATGTTTGTCACAGTCCATTTTCTAAGAGCAAAATATATAAATCTGCAATCACAAAACAAAAGATTTGCTTTGTGACACGGCGTCTTGGTCTTAGTTCTTGCAAAATTTTATAATTCGAGGATAGGTTGTGAATTATCTAGTAATTTCTTTATTGGGTTGACTGAAAACCCAAGAAAGAAGATTTAATGTTCAATAATACTTGATAGCTCCATGTATTTCTGAAAGAAATGTCTTTAAACAAATACAATGAAATGACTTTATAAGGCTTTTCTAATTTTTAGGAACCCTAAAATTGAATTAAAATTTAGCATTTTTTTAAATCTGTATTCAAGATAATCTCTGTGTTTACTTGACATACCTACTCGTACATCTAGTGTAATGAGTAGCTTATTTATTTATTCTTACGTACACAATATAAACATTTATAAAAAAGTACATAAAGGAATAGTGAGCATAGAGGCGAGCTTAACCCATAATTGAGTTCTCTGCCAGCAAAACAGTAATTTGTCCCGTTATAGTAATAGTTTTAATTGATGCTCGGCTCCTGTTGGTGGTAACGTGATGTTACGAGACGCTAAAGTCTGTAGATAAATGGGCCATGCAATACTAGAAATAAAAAAAACAATTCGAACTGGTAGTTCCTGAGATTAACTTTGTTTTTTTTTTTAACTTCGTTTTAAAATCATTTTCTTTAATTTACAGAACTAGTTAACACCAGTTATTTTATTTTAAACTAGCTGACCCGCGCAACTTCGTCTGTGTCTCTCAATAGTAATAAATTTTCTCCGTTTTTGAAACATTCTTCATTGGTGCTCCGCTCCTATTGGTTTTAGCGTGATGATATATAGCCTATAGCCTTCCTCGATAAATGGGCTATCTAACACTGAAAGAATTTTTCAAATCGGACCAGTAGTTCCTGAGATTAGCGCGTTCAAACAAACAAATTCTTCAACTTTATAATATTAGTATAGATTACCTTATTTATCCGTACCAAACATTAAAATAACTTATTTTTATTACAGTTACTGCAGTTTTGCCACGATATCTCGGTGATTGTCATGTAGATGAACGAGGTAGAACCTTATATAGGGATCAAAGTCAAATAGCTAGCAACACCCACTTTGCACAAGCCTATTATCTTGTAAGTGTATGTTATGTTGTTACGGACTAAGTAATAAATTGGGGTATTAATATACTATAAAAAATATACACTATCTTAATGTTTTTAAAATACCTTACAAACGAAAGACATACCTTCATAAAGAGAAGTGGAGATCCCTTGATTTTTTTTATTAAATATAGTTTTTTTACCATTTTGTCGGAATGATTTTTAAGTATAGGTCTCATGAAAGTTAAGGTTTTTTAGTATCAATTGCCTCTATCTCATGGAGCGTATGACTGACAGACCGGATAAGATATATACAACAACGCCCCAAAACACAAATCGCAGATGTGACCAATAAAGCCGGAAAACTCAAGTAGGACTGGGCCGGCCATGTTTTCCGCAGGCTGAAGGATCTATGGTCAAATATTAGCACAATTTGGGTCCTACGAGGTGCTAAGCGACAACGTGGTAGGCTAAAGCGTCAATGGCGGGACGATCTAGACGTTTTCCGAAAAGACTGGTCCTAACTAGCTCATGACATAGATCTGTCTGACTCTGTAGAAGGGAGGAAAGAGATAACATAGGCTAAAAATAAATAAATACATAATAGCCTCTAAGCTAAGCTAGGACGGCTACACAGAAGGAAACTATGTAGATCCCTTACTAGAAGTAAGTACCTTCAATATAGAGCGTTTGTAATTGCACTCAACTACTGTTTTTCTATTTTTTTTGTGTTTAGGTATCAGTGACACAAGATGCTTCTTTCCATTGTGGCGAAATAAATCTGCGTGTGGGTCAAAGGACCAATGCCGTCATGTGGGTAGAAAATCATTGCCATCGAGCCATGGAAGGAATGGTGTATCATCAAGCGAAAACTGGCTGGCTTGAAGAGTTAGTATTTTTTATGACATCATCACATCACATCAGCAGCCTTTAATAGTCCACTGCTGGACATAGGCCTCTCCTTAGACAGAAGGTTTTGGCCTACTATACCACGCTGGCCAGACGGGTTGGTATAGGGTTTGTGTCAAGTTTTCCTTCTTTTTGCAGTGCTGGTGTCCTGCGTTGTTTTGCGCCCTTAGTCAGCTCTTACGACACCCACGGGATGAATTGGGGTAGTGACATTCCGTATTCTTAATTCGTCACTACACTACACTTTTTTATGACATAAGAGTTAAAATGAGCAGACGGGTCACCTGATGGTAAGTGACTACCACCACCTGTAGACATATGTAACTCAAGACTCAAGGACAAGGACTCCCTTTGGAATTTGAGTACGACCTTTTCTTGAAGTCTTTTACTATTTTGTAAAAACAATATCCAAGTTGTAAAAAATGTTATTGTAAAAAGACGATCGGCTGAATGAATCTAAGGATTGTTAAGACTATAGTAAGCGTTTATGTGGGTAGTTAAATATATATGTGTTTTATATGATATAGAAGTGCGAATACGGGCCAACTGATTGTAAATGGCTACCGTAGCCCATGGTTAGGGCTGCCATCCGTCCGGGTTTTCCCGGATATGTCCTTGTTTGGAAGACGTCCGGGGAGCGTCCGGGGAGCGGCGGGCTTTAAATTGTAGTCCGGGTGCAACCCGGACTAAAATAAAAGTCCGGGTTTTCGATCAGATCCCGTTCCCATAATTTATGCAAATAAAAGCAATGGGTTAGGTATTTAACCGCACGCGATGTCCTTGTTGAACAAGTTTTCATTTAATTTTATCAACTGAGTAACTTATAATGGGGTTTGTTTTATTTAATGCCTAAGAAGGTTAAAAAATAAAGCAAAATTATTCACCTGTCGTCACAAGAACGATAAAACACACTATTTCATGCAACAAAAGCGGCTTAAAATTAAAGTTTTCTGCTACAAGTATGGAGTAAATTATATTTGAATCAAGATGTAAGTGAATGAAAAAAGTATTGAAATGTCCGGGGTGAAAGCTCCGCTTACGCTTCCGGTCCTAGGGGGCAGGTTTTAGAGATGGCAGCCCTACCCATGGTGACCTGCAACTTAGTCATAATTGCCGCCCTTGAATCCCCTCAGAGGGAGAAGGGGTTTGGGTTCCGATAACCTCATTCACTCGGTAACCCGTTTTCTGTGAGGTCTCTATCTATACTTTATACATACAAATAAACAAAATGGAAGTGTATGTTTGTAATGTCAAAATAATACCGGGAATCGAAACCACTAAGGCAGCGCTTTTCAAAATTGAGGCAAACGACGCGGTACCAGCTAGTTCTAATAAGTCATTAGTTAATTTTGTTATTCAACCACATCAGTCATCTGCCTCTGCGGTATTTCCGTTAAGATACGACCTTCAAACCTTTAAGAAAAGAGCGTACTCCTTCCTAAAAGGCCGTCAACGCGTTTGTGAATCCTGAGTTTACCCCTCTTCCCTATAAAAGTAAAATAAAAATACCATCGCCCTTTAATAGTCCACTGCTGTAGATAGGCGTCTTCTTAGAGAGGAGGGTTTAGCCTACTATACCACGCCGCGCTGGTCAGACGGGACAGTGTTGGTGTAAAGTTTTCCTTCTCTTTGCAGTTCCGTTTTGTTCCCTTAGTCGGCTTTTACGACACCCAGAGGATGGATATGGGGCCGTGACACTCCGTATTTTTAATCTGTCACCAAACGGAAAGTTCTGTTCTCTTATAAATCAGTCTGTATCTGTTAATCAATCACTGAAAACAAGTTTTCATTGTTGTGTTATACTATATGGTGGTGCCATATAGTATAACACAAATATTTATTTATATTTATAAATATTTTAGTTTTTTTTTTATTTGATTCATTCTTTAGATTGTTGCAATAAATAATAATTTCATAGTATTTTTTTCTTTTGTTTACAGATTAGAATGTTTCATATACTTCAAGTCAACAGCATATCTTGAGTTTAAGTTTACATTTTCCTTCAAAGCTGAAATCACAATTGTTATGTACGGAAAGCTAGATGAACCTGGTTTTCATCACCCTTATAGGCGCAGGCCTATAACAACGAGTTGGTGGCCTACTCACACACTCAATATGGGATTGTTTGTGCCATCGTATCGACCGTTTTGGCGTTTATAATTCATAATTTATTAGGTCTTGGAATGTTTGAAAGTTTGGCATCAAAACCTGTTTAGGTATAAACCACATTGTTTAAGTAAACTTCTAATTTAACGCTTTACCATGAGCTTACCGCTAAAAAACTTAGCGAAGAAACAATTTTTTTAGTGCCCAATAATAGTTAAAAACTAACGGAAACACTTTGCCATAACTAAAAAGAATTTTATGTAGGTACATTTTTTATAGAGTTATATTTAAAGAATTCTACGTCGCGGATAATGTGAAATTTTTAAATAAATAAAGGTGTTTAAACTTATTTTTGTGCTTATTTACAAATATTGTAGACAAGGCAACTCATTTACGGTCATTGCAATATCTAGTTATAAAAATTGTAAAGTTAAAGTATAGATACAAAGTTCCTGCTTGTAGGTAAGAAATTTGGTGGCCTGATTAATTAGAAATAAACAACTTTTTTCATTAAAGAATCAATAATCATTGTAACGATTATATTGACATCATTTCAATGAAAATATCAGAAAAAAAATACGTTTTATTACACTTAATTGCTTTCGTCTTCTTCGAGTTATTTATTACCAACGTCAAATAAAAGCAAAAGATTACCCATTCAGTTGTATTTTTGTGTGTGTTTATATACCACTAGCTTTTATCCGCGGCTCGATGTCGGTTATGGCTGTATCCTTTATCGACAATCAAACTATCTCGATACCAAATTTCATCTGCAGCGGTTCAGACGTTTTTTTTGACATCTGACACACAACGCCATCTAGTTTCCAACTAAGCAGAGCTTGTACTATAATAGCTAGATTGACCGATAGAATACTTATATACTTTTTTTTTGTAAACGCATACATATTATACATAGAAAACACCCAAACTTCGAAACCAATATTAGCAGATTATTGGTCTGACTCAAGAATCGAATCCGCACAGCACACCTCAGCACAGCAGTCGCATACGCTACCACTGCACCACCGAGGCAGTCAATATTGACTCCCTATATAAACTTCAATACCCCTTTTCACCCCCTTAAAGGATTATTTGTGAGATAAAAAACTATCCTATTTCCTTTCCCGGAACTCAAACTATCTCTATGCCAGATTTTATCCCCATCGGTTAAGCAGTTAGAGCGTTAAGAAGTAACAGACAGATCGACAGACAGACAGACACACTTTCGCATTTATAATATTAACGTGGATGGATAGTGGCTAAACGAGCAGAGGGGTCACCTGATCAAAAATGATTACCGCCCAAGGACCCCTGCAAATTGAGAGACACAAGTGAGTTACCGCCCTTTGAGTAAAAAGGAGGCCTCCTTTCAAAAGGAGGAGGGTTGGCCCTCCAATAAACTCACTTCTTAAAAGAATCGGGATAATTGTTTAATACGCCAATTTTATCGATCCTTTTCACTGATAATTTTCAATCCTATCTACGATGTCTGAATCTTTGTTATCGTCTTTAAAAAAAAAAAAAAAATTGTAGATTTCCATAGGTGAAAGAATTTTTAAAATCGGTCCAGCGGTTTCGAAGCCTATCCTTTACAAACAAACAAACAAAAAAAAAACAAATCTCCTCTTTATAACATAAGTATAGGAGTATAGGTTGTCTTTTATTGACAGCATTATATATAATGTTGGAACTTAACTATACCTTAAAAAAGTATGTAAAATATTGGAAAAAAGACAGCAGCTCATATTAAAAGGTAACCTTTTAAAATCTTGTATTTGTTCTACAACATGTATTTTTACGGCTGCTGCAAGATGCGACACCACAGATAGCAGAAAAGCATAAGCAAAGCACCTCATAGAAGTAGAAAATTCGAAGTTTAAAGTATAAAATAAAAATATATTTAGTACCTACTGAGAGAACACCAAGTGTTGGATTCGTTTCAATAGAACACCACATTGTGATATTATTAGGAATTCTTTGTACTATTCAAAGCCTTGCAGTTCCGTAAATTATGTTATTACTACGGGGTTTTAAATGAACAACAACTTCTAAGTTTTTTTTTCTATTGTATTTTCCTTTAAAAATTCAATAGAAAAAAATGTGGTGTAGGGCTCCGGTTACCTCGTGTGTGTGTAATTGTGTATGTACACGTTAAGGCGTAGTTCAAATTTGTCTCACATATTTGTTAAAATGGTGGACATCTTGCAATCAATTGTTAGTCTGGTTAGTCTGTTAACTCAGAATGGTACACTACAGTCGCATTGCCAAAAGTTTTCAAAGCTGTGCAGGAGCGACGACCATATACCGGGCTCCGGGGATTGATGATGCACCACGACAATGCATCATCATATTCTTCCCTCAAAACAAAGCAAGCACCCCGTTTATTCAATAGTACTTACCTTGAACCTTACCTTGTGACTTCTTTTCATAAAAGATAAGATAAAAGGCAAGTTTTTTAAGTGCCGAAGAGGAGTCGGAGGAAGACTGGAATAAATGTTGCCAAGACTGGTTTGGCAGATGGAAATTAGTATAGAGAGTGATGAAGAGATTAAAAAAAAAAAATTAATTGTAAGCATATGTTGTTAATTTTTGGGTGTCTAAAAATTAAAAAATTGACCTACGTTTGTAGACTCTAAAGTCGTAAATCTACACACACAAAATCAACAATTACTGTTTTGTCATATATTTAGTAAAATAAATATAATAAATTTATATCTATCGAAAATCTATTACATATATTATATGATCATCATCATCATCCTTTAATAGTCCACTGCTGGACATAAGCCTCTCATTAGGAGGTTTTATATATTATATGCCTGTGCCGATCTACAATCGCCAGTTAAAAAGGGTTGTGCCTTTCCAATCTCTTTAAATGAATAGATAGACACAATGGCCTTATTAAATATGCCACAACATTGTTTTGAAGTGAGCCAGAATGTCAGTTTTTTTTTATTTATTTAACACTTAAACAAACAGCTTAGTAGCATACTACTAAGCTGAGTTTACTTGATAATTTATAACTTCGTTCCGAGCGGGGGTCTATAGACCCATCACGCCTTGTTTTTTTTTTTTATCTGAGCATATATGATATAGATTTATGATTTTTCTTATAAATATATAAAGAATTCATATTAGGTCCTTACATATGAAATTGGCGTTTTGTACGGGCGGAATATAGTCAATTTTTTTTTGTAAAATATATTTAATTAATCAAAGTATGCACCGTTGTTATCTATGCACTTTTGTGATCTCATAGGTAGTTCATTGATCCCTAAAAAACTAAAAAAAACATGACACAATAAACTCTTTGAAGGTGGTTTGGACTGACCGCATCGGAGTTGATTTTTTTTCCTTGTAAGAAGTTGTCCAAATTCCGGAAAAAAATGGTAATTTGTGGGAGCAAGGTCCGGGGAGTACGGTGGATATCGCAGACATTACAATTGTAGCTCATCTAACTTAGTGGTTGTTTGTAGTGCAGTGTGTGTCTTGCGTTGTCGTGAAGCAGCAGTGGCCTTGAGCTATTGACCAATCTCGTTGTTTAGCAGCTAAATCTTCCTTCATGGTTTGCAGTTGCTGACAACAGATATCTGCCGTAATCATTTGGCCAGATTTTAGAAAGCTGTACTGAACGACACCGGCGCTGGTCAACCAAATACTTACAAGTAACTTTTTCTGCTTCAATTGTCGTTTATGGCAGGAATGGTTGTGGACCCATCCGGTCTCCAGGGTTCAGTCATTGCAACGAGCGTTTCCGATTATCGTACAGTATCTACTTTTCATCACAAGTAATGATTCGATTTAAAATCACTTCATTATTGTGCCGGTTGAGCAAAGTAACACAGCAGTCGACGCGTGTTTGCAAATTCGATTCAATCAATTCATGAGGTACCCATCGTTCAAGTTTTTTTCCTTTCCCGATTTGCTTCAAGTGGATTAATACAGTTTACCCCGAAGCCTGCAGCTATCTCTGAAGTGCTTTGTGATGGATCCCCTTCCACAATAGCCTTTAATTCTTCATTTTCCACTTTGGTCTCCGGCCGTCCACGGGGTTGGTTCTGAAGGTCGAAATTTCCAAAACGAAAACGTTGAAACCAAAAACGTACCGTGCTTTCGTAATTCTGGATTAATGATATATATGGCGCTGGTGCAATACCAGCGCCGTACACATCATTAATCCTTCGAGCTGTTTTTGCAGCACTGGTGCCATGGTAGAACTCTACTCTTACTTCTTAATATACCGATATATCATGGTTTCCATTGTGCGGTAATAAGCGACGCCAATGATGAGGAAAAAACAAATGAATGACTGTTTTCAAGACTCAAATGTACCAGCTAAATGAATTTATAAATTTGAATTTAGAATTCTTAACCAAAGAGGAGATATTTCATATCAAAGTGGTCAGTACGACAAAACGCTAATTTCATATGTACCTAATATAAATTACCATCATGAGTGTTTTCAGAATTTTCAAGCAAACAGTTCATAACTTAAAGGGAAGGTAATTTTAAAGTTTTTATTTTTGTTACCATAGCAGTGACTAGAATTCTTGCACATTTATTATCGTTTAACTTGGCTTGCACTGTTTGTTGGAGTTTCAATACATTTTTGAAGTTGTTTTGTTCTTATATGCCAGACACTGATATATCAATCGAAATATATGTATAATGAGGATTTTTATCAATATACACATGTATTTTATAAGATTTTATCAAAATAGCAAATCAATTTTCCATACTGTTATTTTTAATGATGTATCATCATCCTATCGTGTATTTTCTTTAACCACACACTAGTGTGGTTAAAGAAACTACACAAATAGTATTCTGTGTCGCGAGGCACTTTACAAACGTTCATGGAATGAACACAAAGAACGCCCAAACTCTAACTAATAATTTTTGGATCACACAAAATATTGTCAAATGTGATGATCTCTAACTCCTGCTAAATTACCTCATTTAACATTGAAGAATACCATCTTCTAGTTACAACAATTTTGGTAGTTTTTACAGTTAGTCTTAACAATATTTAGTAAGACTCGGAAAGATCCCGA